CAGGAATACCTCATCTCATGAGTGCCCTCCACTCTCCCGTGATGTTCACGCCCCCTCGCTTTCAGATGTAAATACAATACAAGTGTGACTCATCCACCAAATCGACTTCTTCCAGAGGCATGAATAAGATCAAGATGCAGGTGTTCTGAAGAACCCCAGAGAGGATTTATTATTGCGGTCTGACATGAGAGCTGCTCTTTAACCCAACTCAGAGATTAGGGAATGAACACAGAGTCAATGTCGTAATAAACATGTAAGCTGGTCTCTTAAGATGAATAACATGTACTTACTACTTGAAAGGGTTTCTCTCCTACTTGCTTAAAATGAGCGAAGGATAAAATTATAATATGGTGAGTGAACCACAGAAACACATCCAAAAACTGATGTAAAATTGTCTGAATGGTGTTCTGTGAGCCCAGCTTGGATTTGCCCAGTTTATCCAAAGTCCAGGTCCAAGCTTGAGTTAAGCCCAGAGATCATAGTTGCAGACACAGCTCTGCTGCTGGGGAAGACTCTTACCGAGCCTTAAGTAAGGCACCTAATCACATATTATCTCCACATCACAAATTTCCCATCACATCTTTTTTAGAACTAGTATGTCACCACCCACAATGACATCATTTGTTGTTGTTGTTGTTGTAAGGGACAGTACATGCATGTAACTCAGTACAGCGGTTGCAAACATTATGCATTATCCATTTAGAAGAACAGATGTGATTTACACTGTTTACATATTAAATAACCCGGTAATAATATAAAATATCTGTGTGAGCAAACAGGCACATGACAGAGAGGAGGAGCTGAAGCAAACAATCATAGACTTGTAATAACTGCTGCTTCCTTGAAAGCAGGCCGCGTGCCAATGCAAACATTTAAAGGCTCCATAAAACTCATAGTTTCTGATTCAGAGAAAACTATTGCTTCCTGGAAAACAATGTCTTTTCAGTGGCGATTTCTTCCTAGAATGGTAGGCATAACTAAAAATGCCAACTAATAAAACGGCCACAGATGTTTGAACAATCTGGCGCTTCTGTTCCTCCTATTGAATCAAACTGGCCGGACAAAGAACAGACATCTGGGCTTTGCGCCACAGAGCAGGTGGATGAAGACAAAACAAGTGGAGAGAGAGTACAAGTGATAAAATGAAGAGATGAATAATTTTTTTAATGGGGGGCAATAAATAGACCACTTTCAAACAGCAAGACACAATGAAAATCACTCATATATGTGTCTAATTGAAAGCTGCAGTGATGGCGTAAGTGAGCAGGAGAGTGGGCTGAGCTTCTTTCTCTAACACCACTTCTGCAAACCTATTGATTTTGTTTTGTAAACAGTGAAAGTGGACTGAGCCTGTGGGCTCTGGGATAGATCGTTAAGTCCTGTATTTGCCAGTCCTTGGCATTCTGGGCCAAAATCTGATCATTCAGAACATCAGCATATCAGGCCAGTCATATTATTCACCTGAGGGAAGTCTCAAAAACTCAGCATGCATTGCAGGATTGGCTCCATTCAAATAAAGGAGAGGGCTACATTCTTTCATGTAGGGATAAAGTCGGTCTGAATGTAGCCTTAAAACATACAGAGATCCCCTCAAAGATCTAACTGTTGACTGGGGACCTATTGGTCAGTTGTGCTTGTAATGGTTCAATTCAAGGCCCAGCCACTTGAGCCAACATATATCGGCTGTACAAAACCTCCAGTAGAAGCACTGGGTGACCTGTTGGCATATGACCCATTATACTGTAGTGGTCAAGCCTGACTGAGCATCCTTCTAGCTACTGCAGAATGAGTATCTAAAAGGATGCTCGGAATGTGAATCTAAAACAATAGTTGAGGCTTTCAGGGCCAAAGCCTTTAAGTGTCTGTGCACTAATGGACATTTTATACACCACCCAGTTTGACTTAAAGTCACAAGAAAGGAGAACATTAGCAACCAGGTATGACACTCTTCAGTCTGAGTGCCCCACAAGTCCACTTCTGATCGAGCCTGTAGAAAAAGATAAGTCCAATGCCCTTCTGCATAGCTAAATCTAAGTAAAAACAAGCTTTAACCCTATACCCTATCCATACCAGGCATGCCATGAAGGTGCACCTTCTCCATTTTTGCAGCTGTTCATTCAAAGTCAGGACACCACTGTGCAGCAATTCCTAAATTTTACTGGAGAGAAGACTTTTCTCCTTAGTGGCGAACAGAACAGACGCTCAAAGAATGAGCAAAAGGCTGCAGAGTCACATCCAGAAAGCATTTCAATCTTTCTCTGTCCTTCCCCGCTGGCAAACTGCCATTAGCTGGCCAGCTTACTTATGAAAGAGTGAAAGAGAGGGAGAGAGAGAGGGTGAGTCAGAGAAATCTCCTGTATGCACTGTTTCTTGGCTGCTGGAGGGGAACTCTCACGAACCTGGAAAAGTGCCACTGGGTGTTTTACCTTCTCAGTGAAAGAACCCATCAACAGCTGGGCCGTGCAATGAAAACAAAAAGACAGGATGTCTGAATACCCAACATGTAGACTAGTTAAGGATTTAAACTGTTATAGTGTCTCAGGGTTGACCACGTTCTTTTCTTCTCACAAGTCTAAATACCACATTTGGCTGTAGAGTTAGACCAGGGTTGTCCTGCATCCTGATGTTGTTGTAAGTGAATGTTGGAAGAGAATTGACAATTAAAGTATTTACTGCATTAATTGCTAATAATTTTGATCAAATAAATTGTAGGTATATTGAAAATTAACTGAAGAACCTTGATTTACAGATGAAAAACAACAAGTGTTCAACATCTGTGTTTCTTAACTGAAAGTGGACTCCTCTGTTCATATGCACACTGATTTAATCAACCTTTGACAACATCAGATATTGTTAATAATTCTGGTGTAACCCTTGTTTGATCTTTGCATGGGGGTTTTAAAGATCTGCCAATGGGTGTGGGTGTGAACGTAAGGTCCTGAACTAATGTTTTCATTTTTTTGGGCCGACCTTTTTGTTTTCATTGGCGTTACAGTCTTAAATCTTTCTTGTCTGCTAGCTGAAGTGTGCTGTTGCTTCTTAACCTTTACACCTTTATTTGTTTAACATTCCTGCGAGGAAACCTGATTCATGGATCATGCTCTCACTCTCTCATCCGCACAAGTTTTGCCTTAAGGTCACATGTTGTTGATTTTCTGTGGTTTGGTTGTAATTGGTTTTCTTCCCTGTTAATGTGTCATTTGATTAATGTGTTTTCTAATGTAGGTTCTTCATTATTTCACAAAGTTGTCTTGTCGAGGGGCCCTGTGTCAAAATTTTGTTTTAGTACCTAAATTATTTTAGTTTTCATTTAAACCTGGGGCCATGTATAGCTTGCTATGTGCAATGTATTTTGATGGGAACCTGAAGGCAACAGTGTGCATACTCAATGCACATAGAACTGGAGAAGGAGCCCAACAATTTTTTTTTTTTGCCCTGAGGCTCCCCGTTAGTCTTTTCATCTAGAAATATTTTGGTAAACACACTGACAAGGATCTCATTTTTTATAGCATGCTTTGAATTAATTTGGTGAAACAGATTTTACAGTGCAATGGGATAATACCCCTGCTTTACTGGGGTAATACTACTTCAAATAGAGCATACACTTACAGCTACAATTTTATGGGTTTTGCAAGTTGCATACAAAATGAAAAATCAAATCTGAAACACTAAATATTTCTTTATTTATTTGTTGTTGCTCTCTACAAAAACAATAAAGAGCACAATAACAGCTCTTAACAACAGCGTTGTATTTATTTATTTAAAAAATTAGAGTGCTTTCAAGAGTGTACACATTATACATTACCTATCAGAAATATAAAGTGATACAGGCACATAGAAATATGTATACAAAATAATGGCTCAACAGGAAATACTGATATAGAAGAAAAAAAAAAACAATACACTGCTCTGTCAAGGTTTTCATAACCTTGCCTTGGATGTGCAAGCAGCAGTTTGTGCATGGGGTCAAAGAAAGGAGTGTATTAGAATGAAACACTGACCCATTACCACAATCGTCATTGGTATTGCAAAACAGCACAAAACACTGACACTGACTAAATTCAAGAGCTTTCCTTTTAAGGAAGTACACAATTAATTTGTGATTGCACAGTGCTATTTTGAGGTCATCTCCACAGCTGTAGTGTTGTTGCCTCCACTGACATCATAGTCACCCACTGGACCGCTGACAAGGACCTTCATGCGCTCGGGAAAATCTTCAAATTTGGGGGCCAGCAGAAAATCATAGATGAGAGCTGCTGCTACACCACCGCATATCGGCCCCACCCAGTACACCTGCAATAGATAACTGGGATCAGTCTCTGCTTTTGTGTCATGTGCAAACACAAGAATGCACTGAACTTTTGTTAGCACAGAAAGAAATAGAAGAAGGTCACAAAGATGCCAGTCAATTTCAAAAGGTTTTGCTTTTGTCAATGTTTCAGCCGGGTTAGCTGTAACTGATTAACTTCTGCAGGAGGATTCATGAGTGATGGAGTCGCCTGGCTCTTATGGACTCAACTGACATATAATATGCATGCACAAAAATGTCAGGCATGTGTAATGTGCTTGTCTGCTTCACTCTGACTTACCCAGTGGTTATCAAAATTGTTCATGATCAAAGCGGGACCAAAGGAGCGAGCGGGGTTGATTCCGCAGCCTGTGTAGCTGATCTGCAATTATCAACAAAGAAACAATATAAGAAGATATCTTCAGCTACATGGTCTGGAGGTATAATAAAGTCTGGCAGGTGTTGGGGGGATTATCTAAAACAATGAAAAATACAAGAAATTCTTTCATCCAAGAGTTCTGTCATGTTTCCTGCTGGCTTACATTCACTGCTCAAATGTACTGTGCCAAATTCTAGATAAATATTACACAGCCTTTTGGGGGATGGTGGTAAGGTGCAACTTACAGCTGCCAAGTGTCCCAGGCAAACTGAGAGGCCAATGGCCAAGGGTGCTGAACCTGTGACATCACGCCTCCTTTTATCAGTGACTGCAATGACACACAGCACCAGCTGGAAGGTTGCCAGGATCTCAATGCCCACGCCTTGGCTGGGAGTAACACCATTAAGCTGTTTGAGAGTTAGAGAAGAATCCAAAATAACAATCAGAAATAACAACCAGACTGTGTTTGTTCGATTGATAGTTTCTCATTATGACCACTTCCTACTTAGCAGCCACTGGCATTATCCTACAGGTCTGACATCAATTTGGCAGAAACTCTGAACTTCCATATTGCTTATTCATTTTTCATTTTCAGAAAGTCTGATCAGTGTTATTCTGTATTCTTTAGCTGTGATACACCATGCATGGGGCATGAATCACATATTATAACATGTTCTGTCAGCAACAACAGTATGAAAGTTTTTACTTACAGAATTGACCCCCAGTGCATCATTGCCAGTTGGACGTGTTCCATACACAATGCCACTAGCCAGAGCTGAACCAAGCATCTGGGCCACAATGTACATGATGGCCTTGAACACGCTGATCTGGCAGCTGGTGAGCATCCCGAGGGTAACTGCAGGATTCAGGTGGGCTCCACTGATGTGGCCTAAACTCTGAGCCAGTGTGGCAATGGCCAGTCCAAAGGCTAGTGACACCTTCACCTCCTGGTCTGGGTTAGCGCTATTTTTGTTCCCAATGGCTGAGGAGAGGCTGAGGAAAATGAAAAGGGTCATGCCAACCAGCTCAGCCAGAACCGCCCTCCAGAATGCCTTGCTCTTGAACTCTTTCATGGTGGTGGCTGAGTGACTGTCTGGCTATAGGTTTGAGCTGGTCCTCTGTATAGTGTGTGTACTCACAAACAACAGCAACGGGCTGCATATATAAGGACTGCGCTGATAATGGTCAGTGGGCGGGCTTTCAAAAAACTGAAAGAGTGGGCCACAGTGAATTAATGAGAAATCCAAAAGACTGGCCTCTCACATCCCTCCCTCTGCTCCCTCACCATCCCTCCTCCTCTCCTTGCTCTCCAGCCCCTCTCCCTGTACCTCCCTGTGTACCACTCTGGACTTTTGTAACTTACAGAGCTGGGTCTTAAAATAGCAGTATTCAGAGGTTTCCATTCATTTACTGCAGAAGTTCTCATGGTGACTTTTAAGTCAGAAACTATTTTTGATTTAAATCCATGTGAATTATGAGCATTTTGAATTTCATTTGTCTCATTTACATCTGTGCTTTAGCTGCAGAAAAAACTTAATTTTGCATAATTGTGTGTTAGACTCCCGTAAACTTACTCATACCATGGTTCACTGACAGTAAATAAGGGAGAGCTAGAAAGAAGCCAGACAACTCCCAAATAATCATTTCAGGTCTTACCCTTCCCCCCACAGAAACATTTTGAAGCGTTTTACAAAACACCCAAATGACAACTCACACGTCAGCTCCAACACATACTGTGAGACAGAATATAAACAGTCAACGTTACAAATTAAATCAAGCCTCTGTTTTTTTAGCTTAATTTGAAACAAACTGCTATTTGTAACTTAAAAAAAAAACAAAAACCAAAGGACAATTAAAGCCTTCTTTTACCTACACAAGTACATTATATAACACATCATAAAACACAATACAAATTTTATTTTATTTTTAAAATGTAGACAGAATATTGTTAATACCTAGAGTGAGAATACCTTATTAACTGAAAGGATGCTTGCTAAACAATTATTATATGTATAAAGCTAAAGAGTTGGAGTGGGGTAAAATGTCAACAGTGAGAAAGGAGCTGCCTGTTGCACCTGGCCGCTAACAGGGGTGTGACAACACACAGAAGGCAGGCCACTGCAAAATATGTCATAGAATTTAAGTAGCTTCTACTGTGGGTGGTTGTGTGTGTAATCGTTTCTCCCCTGCATGTTTTTTTTTTGTTTTTGTTTATTTTTTTGTTAATTTCTGAGGACATTTAAGAATATGATTCAATTCCAGTTAAATCAATTTAACTATTAGGTAAAAAACAATTCCCTTTGGTGATGATCACAATATGCTCTCTGTAATGCAAGTACAACTTTATAAACCTGACTTTCCTTATTGAATAAGGAGTAAATGTAAATACAGTTGTAACAAATACATTTATGCAGTAAAAACAAATGAGAGAGAGTGCTCTATCCTCAAACAAATGTATGACCTTTTAATAATTAACTGTACCTGTATGTAGTCCTGA